GTCCCGCCAGCCCCTCACCCATGCAGATGGGGGGTTTCCCTGTCCAGCTGCCGTCGGCTTTGCAGGTGCGGTGCTCGGAGCCCCCGGTGAGGTAGAAGCCGCTCTGGCAGGAGTAGATCAAGGTGTAGCCCAGGGAGGGCAGGTCCAGGGCGCCCACATTGGCGTGGGATGGGGTCTCGGGCTGCTTGCAGTGGTGGGCTGGAGGGGACAGGGAAAACAGGTGAGAGAAACCACCCAGGTGGGCACGGGGAGGGTGAAAAGCGACACCGTGACGTCGACAGGGGAACCCTCCTGGAGGAGCTTCTGCAGCACGGCTCCCAGGGATTTCTCCCAGTTGGAGGAATCAATGAGGAGCTTCCCATGCTGGGTTTCTGTTCCTGGCTGAAGCTTGATGGAGCTCCAGCTTGATGAGCTGAAAATCAGGATTGGCCACCCCTATTTTTAAGGGAAAAAGACAAAGCCAAAGGATGCTGAAGCACCTCTGAACCCAGGAGTGAGTGCCGTGTGTTGGTGCAGCCTAAAAACTGTCTTTGCAATCCCCAAATCCAACACATTTCCCCCAAGAATTCCTTTTCCAGAGCCCGTCTGAGGGCCCCAGCTCCCCGTGGTGTTGCCAGGACTCACGGACGCAGTCGGGCTGGACGCCGCTCCAGGTGAGGTTGGGCAGGCAGGTCCTGGTGGTGGAGCCCTGCAGGAGGTATCCCTTCTGGCACCTGAAGAACAGGATGCTTCCCACCTGTCCCAGGAGGAGACAATCACTCAGCTTCCCAGGGATTCCGAGGCCTTCATCCCATGCAATTCCAAAGGGGCCATCCCCTTGTCACCACCTCATCCCTCACGGGAGCGGCTCCACTCCCAGCTGAGCAAAAATCCCACTTATGGTGTCTCCAAATTAGTTAAACCTAAAATTAATTAATTAAACCCCAAGATGAAGGTAACTAATTAGCAGGTAAACAGAAGGATCCACTCTGGCATCCACTATCCCAGCAGGGAATGGGTGGGAATGGAGCCCCCCAGGGAGTGACTGTGGGATTTTTGTCCCCATTCCAATGATTTCCTGCTGGATGAGAGATGGGATTAGCAAAAGCACCTGCAGGATTTGGCCTGAAAATGAACGGGAATTAATGTGAATAGCAGCAACTATTAATTATCACTGTAATTAATTTCAGATACAATGCACTGCCTAATTAATGCTGTGCAAACACACTCAGGGGGCTAATGGAGCACACTGGGGTGTCCTGCTCCCAGGAGGAGACAGGAATCCATGGAAGGACACATGAATCCATGGGAAAATGCAAGAATCCATGGAAGAAGGACACAAGAATCCATGAGAAGAGACATTAATGCATGAGGGGAGACTGGAATCCAAGGGAGAACATGTGGATCCATGGGAGGAGACATGAATCCATGGGATAACACATGAATCCCATGGGATAACACTTGAATCCATGAGAGGACACATGAATCCATGGGATAACGCATGAATCCATGGGAGGAGACATGAATCCCATGGGAGGACACATGAATCCATGGGACGACATGTGAATCCACAGGATAACATGTGAATCCATGACAGGAGGCATTAACTCATGGAAGGACACATGAATCCATGAGAGGACACATGAATCCATGGAAGGACACATGAATCCATGGGAGAACACAATAATCCATGGAAGG